CCCCCCCCTGGATCCGCCCCTGTACATATCAATTGCAATTTATATTGGTCATTGAAGGTGATTCAGATTGCAGTTCAAACTAAAGTTGTACGTGGTACAACAACTTCTTAACACCGAATAATTTAATTAAGTAATACTTAAGGCTGCGGTCCCACAGCAACCACCGTCATCAATTATCACCCACTACGTGTAATCCTCTCTCAATGATTAGGCTCGAATTTGAAACACGCCTTGCAATTAGCTTTTCTGCATTAATTTTAAGTGGACTGACACATTTTTCCTTCATAATTACTTTCAGTTGCAATACACATGGATGAGAATTGGAGAATGGTATGTACTGGCCATTGTTATAAATCAAGGCTATCACAATTTTAATATACCATTCAAAGCGGCTCCAAATCCATCTGTGAAAAAGCTGTTGTACCAGGACTTAGATGGTTCAGAAAATCACAAGCTGTGTAGGCATCTTAGCCAAATCGCTACGTTAGGTGAGACTCTTGTTATGTGTTTTTATAAACTATCTAAAATTATCTTGTATTTCTAGACGTTGGGTCTCTTTATTTAAGCAGATCATGCTTTCAGTCTCCTTATTCGGCATCCAGAACGACTCAAGGCGGCTTGGTCGATCAAGGTTATTTAGCATATTTGAAAGATGATACTGGTTTGCTAATTAACCCTGGCTTGAAACGGGAAGTACGACATGAAGTATCTGCGCTGGCACATATTTTGGATTTTCTGAGAAAAAAACATTTATCATCTGAAATGTCCAAGTATATAGTGAGGCGCTACGCAGCGTCATATAGTGGAGTACTTCAAATGTTTCCGGGAAGCGTGTTGACCAATGGTTTGGAAACTACAAAGCGTTCATGGTTTTTACGTGCATTACAACATCAAAATAAAACAATTTTCATACCCCCATACTTAGATAAAGGGGGCGCAGGATATATTGTCACTATAGCATATGCAACTCCTCAGTTTGTTATAGCCATGGATCTTACGTACGGATATATGCTGAAAATGCTCTTGAGATACATGCCATATTGTCTGAATGATAAGATTACTTGTTTCCTAATTGATGATCAAGGCTACATAATATTCCATCGAAATTTAACGGATCTTAATGGTTCTCGACCTGTAGAACAACAGCATATTGTTCACAGAGAATCATTAGTGGCAAATGATATTTTAAATCATAAACAGTTTATTAAAAAATTATTATGCAACGATTATGGGGACAATAAGATTCAACGTTATTATAGATTAAACACGAGTTTTACGGATGATCTGGTAAACCACGTTCCCGGAGAGCAATGTGTGACATATCATATAACTTCGGTGCCAGACACAAATATATTTGTAGGTGTAGTGAATGCGTCCTGTGATGTAGTTCCCGCTTTCTGTCCATGCAGTATAATTGACCGTTTATGTTTGAACTGTAATAGAATGGAACAGAAGGAATGTGAATGTCCTTGTGAATGCCCATTTCACTCCGAAACCAGTTCTTGCCAAGAGGCGAATCAAAATTTGACGGATAATTTACCGTGTAAGTGGAATGTTGAAGAAGCCTTATCTGAGGATGCACATTTTTCAATGGACTTGGATTCCAGCCTAGAACCTTGTTTTCCATTTAACTGTCAAACCGAACGATCTGTTTTGGATTGCGTAGGGGTTATTGGATGTGAATGGTGTATGTACGACATGAATGGCGACTTATTGAAAAATCCATTTTGTTCCACAATCACAACTTGCTTTAGTGGGGTTTATGGGTTGAGTAATCCGTATAGAAGTAATATTCCAGAGCTGTCACCAACAAACGACTCGGAATATTCTCCTTTAGGTCCGATTCTTGGACTGGTAACAGCCATGTTTATACTGTTTATTTTACTGTATATTTGCTATCGTTCCTACACCAATCCCCCAGTTAATGGACTTTATTTGTCTTCTGCTCAAAATCAAATGAGATTGAGTGACTTGAACGTTAATGAAGTATTCCATGATTCCGGAAATCATAGAGATAAACTGTTGACAGACGACTGTCTTACTCCTTCACCCTATTGCGTCGCGAGTAATTACAGGAGGAACAATACAGCGGCTGATTCTGATCATGGGTATTCCACGATGACACCTCATGATGAATCTGAGCATCTCTCTCTTGCCCCTATGGAAATTGATTCATTAGAAGATGATGTCATGTCTGATAATGCCTCTATGTCTACCTCTGTTTCTATGAAAAATAATCCATCACACATTGTTTCGCCTATGTTGACGAAAATTCCACATAGAAATTGTATTATTGTGCCTGTTACAGTACATAGGAACATGGATGCTACTGAGAATAGGTCATTATGTTTAAGTTAGTACTTATGATGTTTGACAAATAGTAATCCTATCATAACAATAATCACTATTAAACCTCTAATTACCGTTCAATTTAATAAAATTGAACCCTGTTTGCAAATGACGCTGCTAATTATGTAAAAATTTTAATCTAATTTTTAAGCTTTATTGGCTCATTCGTTAAAACAAAAATAGCAAGTTGTAGTTTCAATGAAAGCTTAAAATTGAAAATGCTTTTTCACCATTACATTGTATTCTGATATACGTTTTTTATAAGCATGTACCACTTTATTGTTAAAACATATAGACTTAATTATATTCAAATGACAATATTTTTAAACAAATTAAATTGATGTTAATTTGTTCGAAGCGATAGGAAGGCAAATCATGAACTTTTTGCTCTGACTTGATGGTTTACCTATAATTTTACTCAGGCTTCATACGACTACCTTACAGTATTCTTGTATTTAGTAAATATTTTCAGTTTATTATATAGTTTTATTTAATTAGCATCCTTTGGAGCAACTAAAAAGCAATCATCATCACCTTCGTCATGAATAATAAAATATTCTATTAACAACATGGGTTATTTTTTAATCTACGGGCTTCAGTCCGAATTGAACCGAATAACGAAATGAAATTAATTAGTAGACTTGAAACAACCAAAGTTAACAATATAAACCTTATATAGTTTAGTAATTCTTTCAAGCAATGCTGACCATTGTATTAATGGCGTTTATAATCTAAATTCTATAACATTTGAAGCAAAGGTTAACGAATAATACGTATAAACATAATTTACCAACACTATTTAAGAAAGTTAACGTAATTTATTTAAATATACTCCTTCAATTTGTTTTGCAAATTTATTTCAGGGCGCTAAATATAAATTTTCAAACTGCGCGCCATTCAGCAGAGTCAAAGCTGTCAAGATCTTCGCATATACAAATATTAGGGCTACCGCTTGCGCTATTATAGACCCGCGATATGGTCCATTATCAGACTACTATGTTGATTCAACAATAACAACACTGTTGTATTTATTGATGACTATGTTACTATAGTTATATAGGTTTATTTTGGGAAGAAATTTTGTAATTTGAATTCTGCAACTGAAATATTGTGTTATACTCATTGCCATACTCTGGTTTGCCCAACCCACAACTCGGCCCTACTTCTACCCCTAATCAGGTAATTAGATATAAAGTATATTGGTAACATAGTATTTTTCCATTTTGTGGCAGTGACTCGAAAACATCGAAACTCAATATGGTCGTCATATTTTATAACACTTGCTGGTTTAATATGTAATACAATATGTTCATGATGTAATGTTTTATTACGTTGTCTTTGTTTTTCATAGGTAACAAATTATGGACTCGTTTTTCAGTCTGTTCGATCCTGGCAATGAAAATGATAATAATACTGTCTCTGACGAGTTCACTTTGGACCACAATCAAAATGCTTTGCCTCCGGAACCGCAACTTGGAAATGTGGAGTATAAATTGAAAATTGTTAATCCAACGAAGCAAAGGTTTGAACATCTGGTAACCCAGGTAAGCTCAAAAGTATATATTAGAGTGAAATCGACCAAATTAGTAAATTTAAAATCGTTTTGGAAGCAGTGGTATAAGTAATTGAAATCGAAACTTGAATACAAACAAAAGAAAATTAATGAAAAATTGTATTAATGCGCGACAAAGTTCGATATAGGTAGGGTATTAGTACCGCCCTATTTAGCGCAATGTTTACTTGCTGCCATTCGCAACATTACTGTACATTATTAATTATTTACTAAAACGTTATTGATGTCGCACATCGCCTGAAATCTGAAAGCTGGTGCCAAATTTGATGTGTTCGTATTGTACTTTCGTATCAACTGAATGTTTACGGCAAGAGTGTTATTGCAGTTGAAATGGCGCCTTCGTGAGGGCAATGGAGAAGCGATTTATGAAATTGGGGTGGAAGATAGTGGAATTCTAACAGGGTTAACCAAAAGAGACATGACAGCCAGTTTGCAGACACTAAAGCAAATGGCGCTAAAATTAGGTGCTACTACGTCTCTATTGCAGGAACGGATATTAGAGAACAAGCGCATAGTAACCGAAGTTCTTGTACGAAAGATCCCTGATGATCAAAATAATATTGAAATTCGTGTAGCAGTACTCGGAAATGCTGGTGAGCCGCATTGATGGGCCGTCATCACTGGCCAATCAAACTGGAAAAGCATGCAGCTACTATTTTATGGTTTCAGATGCGGGGAAAAGTACTCTGTTAGGTGTACTAACGCAAGGGAATTTGGACAATGGTCGTGGACGTGCCAGACTGAATATGTTTCGACATTTGCATGAGATACAAAGTGGAAGAACATCATCAATTTCCCACGAAATTTTGGGATTTAATTCCCAGGGGCAACCAATTAATTATAGCTCCAGCGAGCTGATTACAGCTGAAGAGATTTGCGACAGTTCTACCAAATTGGTGACCTTTTTAGATTTAGCCGGGCATAAAAAGTACCTCAGAACCACAATACAGGGTTTATCTGGATATTCGCCCCATCATGCTATGCTAGTTGTAAGTGAAGTTAGATCTTATTAGATCAGAGCACAATATATAGATAATGTTGACATTTGTTTCAAGGTATCAAGCGCAGCAGGTGCTGTGGGAATGGCTCAGGAACATCTCGCTATAGCTGTGGCCTTAAATGTTCCATTTTTCATTGTTATTACAAAAAATGATTTAGTTGACCCTGCAAACACTCTACAGAATTTGGAGTCTTTTCTGAAGCAAGCGGGGAGCCGTAGGGTACCATTAATTGTAACGACGATGGACGATGTGATAACGGCAGGAGCAAATCAACTTACTGCGAACGTGGTTCCCATTTTCTGCGTCTCCAGCGTTACTGGAAATGGACTTGAATTGCTTACGAAGTTCTTATATGTCTTGCCTCCTGGGAATAGTTCAAAGGAAAAGGAGCGTCTTGAACAAGTATGTCGGCAATAAATCGTCCGGCAAGTTCATGAAATTAAATGTGTTTTCTTCAGGAGACCCCCGAGTTTCATATCGATGAAAATTTTCGTGCCGGTGAAGTTGGCCAAATACTAGGGGGTTTATTAACAAGAGGAGTTATCGCTGAAGGCACGCTGATGCGTATTGGCCCTATGAAAGATGGATCATTCCAAGACGTTAGTGTTAAGTCCATTCATAGAAACAGAGTACCTTGTAGAATGGTTCGAGCTGGTCAGAGTGCTGCTATTTGTCTTAATAGTTATTTACCCCATCTTCGAAACGGCATGGTATTGGTTGCACGCGAGGAAAATCCACGGGGTTGTCTTTTCTTTCAAGCTAGCGTTTCGGTGCTTTTCCATGAAACTGCGATCCATCCGGGATTTCAAACTACTGTGCATATAGGCAACATTCGGCAAACTGCAATTGTCATAGGAATGTTTTCGTCAAAATGCATCCATACCAATGAGCGAGATTCAGTAGTATTTAAATTTAAAAATCATCCTGAGTATGTAGCGGTGGGACAAAGGCTGCTTTTTAGAGATGGGTCTGGTAAAGGAATCGGGGAGATTACTCAAATATTTCCTCTTCAGAATGACAATGACTAAATATTCAAATTCAACTTTTGGTTAAATCTAGGTATACCCAGAGCTGGGCAAGTATTTAGGGATTAAATTACTTTTTGGCAGTTAAATACCATGTATTTAACTACTTTTTCAAGAATGGTATTTATAATTGAACCGTCAATTACTTTCTATAAATAATCAGTAATTAGTATTTGAAAATGTTGTGTAAATACTTTCATACATGCCCCCCGTATCCACGCAATAATGCATCCAACTTTGTGAAGGCTTTTAAAGATTTTGGAGTGTTCTCTACCAGCAGTTCTCATTAACTCAGTGGGCGTTAATCAGCTTCAGGTAGATGCAGACGGGTCATCTGCGGATCTTGATAGTGAAATGGATTATCCTGAAGATTATGTTTCGCACACAGGACTAATAATGGAGAGCGGTGAGAAAAAAATTGAAGAATCCCAAATTCATTTGCCTAAACATCATCGTTGCGTAACGCATTCGTGTAATCTTATAGGAACAAACAGACTTTATGAAACTCATAAACCAAACTCAATCACTCAGATGGTTCTGGTGATGCACGCTCTGGTTCTTAATAAATGTTCCCAACTTTGAAATAAAGCAGGACGACCAAAATCAGTTGAAATAATGAAAGATGTTCTGGGTCATTATTTAAGTTACCCAGCGGCAACCAGATGGAATTCCCAGTATGATTCGGTAAAACAAATTTTGATAGTTAAAGACAAAATTACAATTCTCTATGACAAATTAGAAATAAGGACTAACGTCCTAAAGGAGACGACTTTGATTATTTAACGGAATATCTAAAAATTTTATAGCCAATTGCATTAGCAATTGATATATTACAAGGTGATAAAAACAATTACTTTGAGTTAGTTATTTATACGATTGCCAGCATGAAATCTAAATTGATCAAATTGAAACCGAAAAATTTAGATTTGTAAATGACCTCATAGAGTCTGTGTCACACGCCAGATGCAATCATTGCTTCTATAACCCATCTCAGATTTAAACTAAAATAGGTAAATTTAATATGGAATATGGAAGAAAATTGGGAACATCAGCGAATGATTAAGATTCAAATGGGCTTAGTGAGTTGCCAGCTTTGCAAAATCTGCAAGATCCCAGTTTCCAGCTGGAAATGTTACAATGGACAAATATCCTCTAGTGAAAGTGTTATTTTTAAGGTATAATACCACTTTACCTTCCTCACCACCAGTGGAGAGAATGTTTTCTTATGCCACTTTTATAAATGATCCTCGTCGCCTTGTCACTATCAGACAAAAACTTTGAAAACCTAGTGCTATGTGTACCACTGTAACTGTACTACTGTAATATGACAGTTGAGAAGTTAAATACTAATTACTACGTAATTAACTAAACTAACTAAAAAAAATTAAACTAACCCAAACTAAGTTTGTGTTCTTAAATACTTGTTAACCAATTACCGGCATATTCTAATTAATAATTAGAAGTTAATTACTTTTTTAAATCTTGACAGTATTTTGTAATTGTATTTAAATACTTTTTAAAAGTAATTTGCCCAGCTCTGGTTATACCCGTATAAAACGTTAAGCTACCCGTGTTGCAAGAGTGTGTCGCGTTTGATAAATAGGTATTAAATGTAAATTATAGGGAGCCCGGTTGAATTGGCTGATCAAACATATCTCAGATTATCAAAAGTGTGGGATTTCTCAAGTAACAATAAATTAGAATTAAAAGAAAAATATTGTCAAAGTTCGAATCATGTTTGTGTTCTTATATGACATCTGTTTAGTTCATTAGTAAAATGTTGCAATATTAGGGCTAGTGAAAAATAATGCTGTTTAGTATCATGTACCTACTTGGAACAGACAACTTTAGTTGAAAATAAACAACTGTGATTGCGTATAATTATTAATAGCGTTTTAATTGAAAATTCAACTTTTGTCTAAATACTGGTTGTGCAATGTCGTTTGGGTTTTCCCGGTGGCATGTTTTCGATATCTCTAGACTAGTTTCACTCGCAGAACAGCTCTGAACTTAAACTTATTATAACGTGAATGTTTTCGTAATTGCGTCACATTGATGTTTGCGCTTTTTTTTATCAATAATAGCAAAACACGGTAAAAATTACATACATTTTTCTGTTTTCTTTTCATTTTATTAATAAATATTGAAATATTTTGCTACAATTGAGCGGGAGCAATTGACAGGAGATATGCTGCTGCAAGACTAGACTAGACTGCAAAAGATGGAAATATGAATTCTTCAGATATTAATTTACTCGAACAATGAAATTAAGTCCATATCAATTTATTGAAATATGCTGCAATAGATATCGAGTAATATAGATCAAATCATTAAGAATTGCACAATAAACAGCTTTGTGTATAAAACACCAGAAACGTGTTGTTGTCAGATTAAGTTGTTCCAGATTAACAGAGGAGAAATAAAAATCCATATTATTCACTTTTCAATAAAAATTCTAAATATATCTGTAGATATTTAGTTTCTAGGTCATAAGTGTTGCAAGTTGGGCTATAGTATGCTCTTGAGCTAGAGCTGCCAGCTCCTTAACCCACTCATCAAGCAAAACCGCACACAAGGCCACATGTTGTCCCTCGGTAAATTTCGGGTATATCAAGCAAGATTGCGGTTCTTCTGCTGGCGTAACCATTGCCAAGTTATTCTCTATTTGACTAGCTCTTCTGCTAAACACACTCGTGATTGAAGGAAAATTCATGCTTCTCCTTTTTGGTCCGTTACGTTGAAATGCTTCAGTCTGTTGTGGTTTGGATACAGAAGCTTTCTCAAAATGGTACCTACGAAAACAAAAGTTATCCGAATTTTCAGTTTTTGTGTTTGTTAAATTTACAGTCTTCGTGCACACGTATATACTACCTTCTTATATTGACGAGCATTATTTCTCTGTGGATCAGTACTTCCTGTGCATATTTGATCAAATGCTCTCGATCAGTTTGGATGATCATATATTCATCGATCTCTTGTTTTATTATTCCAATGATCTGTATCGAAAAAGTCGAACATTTGTATTATATTGTATTTGCACAATTTTTTGAATTCCACTCACTTCAAAAATTGAAGGAATATTGGGTTGAAAAACCAAGCTATGATCTAGAAGATAGGCTCGCAGAAGGGTTTGAGGGTATACAGCTAACCTAGAAATTAGGCCTGTTACATGCAAATTCACATATATTGAATTTGACATGAATTTTCTTAGTTTATTTAGCAGAATTGCCAAAAACGGCCCTGCACTTGGTGCCTCATCTGAGCAGGGAGTTTCGTCAAAATTTTGGATCATGTTCAATCTTTTCAGCTTATTTGAAGACATTTGCCAAAATTCGTTATCTTCCGGCATATCTTCCACATTTGGCAAATTGAAGCTTTCATATTCACTACTCCTTTCGAATGATATAAGGCTATCGGATTTTTCCTCTACAATTGTGCAGCTTTAAAATTTTAATTTTTAATCCAAAATAATGCTTTATATTTACCCGCATTAGATAAATCGCAATTTCCGTTATAGGAATTGCTCCACGTGTTGCAAGCTTTTTGGCACAGTCCAATCTTATTTCTAGCATCGCAAAGGTATGCATAATATCTTCCATATAGACTTTGTTTATGATTAAAATTATTCCATTGCTTCGAACTTTCCCACTCTAGATCATTATCTGATAAATGGCAGCAGTTTGGAGCTAATAATAATAACTTCTCAAAACTAGGACACAGTGGGTCTAGAGGTAATAGGATTTTTCGTTGTGACATTATTAAGTGAAAACACGGCTAAAATTAAACAAATTGATGGAATAAGTGTGTTTTTCCTTTAGAATTGTCCTACGCCTTTGACATATATGCATAATGCCACTAAATATTAATTATTCAGTAGTAATGTTAACAATAAAATAATCTATACCACCAAAATGTGTCTTTAAGAACATTTATTGTCATATAATAAAATAGTAAGCGATTCCAAATTTGATAACTTGGTTGGAATATGAATTTTGAGTCTACATTATCATCTTGGTGTAAGGGGCTAATGCAGCTATAGACAAAATGCCTGATCTCTTGCAGAAAGATGTTGTGGACAATATTAATAACTGTCGTCATAGATGGAACAGGGAATGATCATCGTATAAATAAACGAAATATTTATATGATACAAAATTTAAATTGTATTAACACAAACACAATGTTGCAGTTATGTAGCAGTGGAGGTGTAAATTGGCACAGTACTTTTTGCTTAGTATTCGTTAAGTATATAAAAAAATATAATTAAATTAATAACTTTCCGTTTATTATGAATTATTCTTAAACGTACCATACATTTTTCGCATAAAGACATATCTCAACATAAATACCTGTAAATGTTTGAAGACCAATTCAAGTAGCAAATCTTCACAGTTCAAATCAATCATACTTTCAAATAAAGCCAATGATACGAGGCATAGTTGCATATCGTTGGACTGAATCCGTTGTATTAAGATGTTAAAAAGCCTTTCTCCGTCATAATCCATTTTAACTAAAAATTGTAAAACTGCATGTAATAGTCCCGGCTCAGTAACAGTTCGGATAATCAGCTCAAGGTACGCAGAAGCAGCAATTTGTTCTTGAATATTGCTTTGTAGAAGAGCTTCCCCCAAAACAGGAATTAGGAAACCTCTATATAAAAATTCTTGTAATTGCCGCTTAATTGAAGGATGGGCCACTTGAGTTATGGCATTACTAAATTCTAAAGAGGTCACAAAGTATAATAGTCCATTGATTTCATTTACATCGTCAGGAGTGAAGCGATGCCAGTCAGGTACATCTATAAATAGTTGCGATATCCATTATGTATTCTTAAAAATGGGTATCGAATATTAGTACCTATATCATCGATTGCGTTGGGCAATGCAGAATATAATCCACTAAGTCCTGAAGCTACCAGTAAAGAAAAATCTGATAATTCTGATATGTAAAGAGCTACATCCTTATTTCTCTTCGACAATGACATACATAGAAGCAAAGCGTCTCTAGCTCTCATTCCTACTGCATCTTCCTTATGAATAAATGGTATAAGCAATGAAAATATTACAAATCTGAAAGCAAAACGAAATACAGGTTGATTATAAATTCAATGTGTTAATTATTTTATCATACTTATTTATCTACTATATTAATTTGACTGCCAACAATACAAATATTAGCGTACTTACCTATTACCGTTTTTCTCATTTGTAAAAAATAGTTTGACAAATTCTGGATGTTGCACCAGCAATGTACTCAGCTGGTTGAGAAGATCAACCAAATGTTTATTTATTTCTTTGGACAATAATTCGCCATGGCATGAATTAAACAACTTTAACATTGGGGTTAAAAAAGAATTGTGTTCTAACAGCAGATGTCTAGTGTGACTTATTAGCGTGTCGTACAATTTTATTTGCTCACATTTCACTGCATTGATGTACCTATCATATTAACAGAGAATATCAGATTAACAGAGAATACATTTATAAGGTTGATCAAAACTTACCTCCCCGATCTCGTACTCCAATCAAATAACATATTAAGCACATTTTGGTTTAAAAGATATTCCAAACATTTTGATGAATTGATTGTTATGCATAATCGGTCAGTTTTTTTTATGTCATAGAGAAGAAGTGTAACCATCTGCTCCAAATGGCTAACAACACCCAAAACGTCGTCATGGGATGGTAGTTGCTATGAATACAGGTCAGATTTACATCAGCAGTACTTTCTCTAGCGCAATTAACGATTGCCACCGCTTATGATTATTTCTGTTTTGTTTCTGATTGTTTATATGACAAATTGACGTAATGCTTACCTGAACCCTGTGGATAATTTTTAGGGCTTGGTCCCAATGCCCTTTAAAACTATCATAGCAAGCTTGTGGGTCGCATTCATCCACTGTGCTTACTACGGTTCTATTATTTCTCTGGAAAAATGAATTGTTCCTTATCCATTCCATAATATTGTCTACTTTACATGGAAATCATGTTATCGCAATGTTTTCTTTGTCATCAGTAACTAAAACTTGTCTTTATCTATGACTAAAACATTATTCAATTATAATTGTTTAAGTTAAGAATTGTCAATGCTCAATGCCATCGATATGACATGACAAATCCTTTTTTAAATGATATTTTACTTTATGTTATGTTCATAACATAGAGAAGATAAAATAAGAGATGTGGCAAGCCTTGTCTTTGCCGCAATGCAAAAGTTAAAACCGTGAGAAATTCGACAGAGAAGAAGAGTACAAGATATAACCCTACAATTACCTATTTATTAATTGGGCGACTAATTCAGTCTATCTGTGCAAATTTATTTATCTACTTTCGAGTTTTAAGAATGTGACGTATTTAGCAAATAGTACCTATATAGAGCTAAAATCATGTCAATATTGCAAATTTATAGTAGTTAGGAGTGTTTTCATGTACCGTAATAGCCCTTTTTTAACAAGGTGTTCAAGCTGCTAGACTTATTTTTGCCTTTAGCATTAAGAAAATAATATTGCCTTTCCATTCGGAGGCAGCATAAAATATTGAAGGATAATGATATAATTGGTTATTCAATAATTCTAGCTGAACATGAATCCAAAGTACTCTAAAATTATACTTATCCTAATTTTCATGATAATATTGTATAAAGCATTCAAATCATACATTTTTCCTGGTAGGAATTCTATCGAGCAATTGATTGTTATAGATGAATCAGGACGCGAAATTGAGAAAGTCAAAGTCTCGGTATATTATGAAGCCCTATGTCCTGATTCAAAGTTCTTTATTACATATCAACTTGTTCCTGCATATGAAGAACTGAAGGAGTTCTTGATACTAGATTTAATTCCGTATGGCAAAGCCGAGGCAAGTATTTCTAGCGCTTCAGCATAGCTCCATCATGGAAAGTCGCTAATTCCCTAAAATGAAAAGAAAATCTATTCTTTCCCACCACATGTGACTTTTAACACCCTTTAAACATTTTAGACAATTATTAATGAAGACGGGAAAATTATTTTTCGCTGCCAACATGACCAAGTTGAATGTTATGCTAATAAAATACATGCCTGTGTCATTGATGAAATAACAAATCCTGAGAAGCAATTGAAATATATTTCTTGTATGATCACTGACAATTTAATACCAGATGGTGCCGGAGAAAGGGTATGTTTAATAAGGCAAAAAGACATTAATAAAATCACAATTCTATTTAATTGAATTAACTGACGTCGCGAAGTTAAACACAATAATAATAAGCATTTAATGGTTTTTTAAATTAAGTTTTAATGAATTTTATATCTTTAATTAATGAGTTAAGAATTATTAATTTTTAATTCAATAAATTAATATTATTTTTCAAACGTCTTTAGGAGTCCCGTATTTTTTAAAATATGCCAAATATAACTTTCTGTATGTCTTTTATATTAGCGTAATTTTAGTGTGGTCAGGAACAAAATATCGATTTCAAGCGAATAAACAAATGCGCCACCGAACAAGAAGGGTCCTTATTGTTGAAGAAACACGGCGACAGAACCAATGGCTTGAAACCGAAAGTAAAATTTATTCCTACAATAGAATTGAATGGCAGTCAAGGTGTTGAAACACAAGCGGCTATTTTGAAGAATTTGTTAAAAGTCGTATGCAGTGTATTCAAAAACAAACCAATTAGATGCGACAGGATCTAGAACTGCGTCCTGCGAACTCTTCTAGAATTTTTATTTGCTTTGTGGGTAATTTTGACTATTATAACTCTACCATAGATTATCCTTCACAGTTTTTACCTATTTCATAATGTAGACGAATAGGTTTAAAAATTACAAATTATTTTTGTAAACATTTTTTGAGCGCTTTCTATAAATGCGATTTTAACCTGTTTATGGTTAAATTTCACACTGATATGGCAAACTTGTTTTCCACTGAAGATATGGCCTATTAGAAAAATAGTGGCTTTTCTAAATCTTAGCAGATATGTGACGAATTAAATCAATATACATAGTTTCTGATTAGGTGTATAAATCTATTAGCTCTCTATTTCAGTAAGTAAATCATTTACCATGACCCTTATCGCAAACATTTATTACGTTATTTTTTGTATATATTTATAAGGATGCTTTTCCCATTAAGATCCATTGAACTGAATAGACATTTCAAGATGCTATCGCAGTTTTATTAACTATTAAAAAACCCATTCGTATGGCTCTCGTTGCTGTTTTAATTGTTAAGCAAGAAGAAACGGATCGCTAAACTCTCGTTGCTAGACGATCTGAAGTGCAATAAACCAGCAATCAGGGCCATGTCCACGATGATTACACGAGAAAATAAAACGTTTATTTCGCGTAGCAGACTCCCAACCAATAATATAGTTATTCCTTTTTATGTACAGCTTATTAGCATTTGATGCTGCAACTTAACTTCCAAAACAAATCATCGAAACAGTATATACTTAATATATTGGTGACAATAAAAATTTAGCTGATGTAAACACATCTTTAATACTTGTAAGCCATCTTTGTAACAAAATTATTTTAACTGAATTTGTGGGTATTATCATAATGTGTATACATTTTTTTAAATGCTGCATTGAGTTTCAGATATTTTGTTAAAAAGAAAAACGTTAAAACCGATATTATTTTATTTAAATTTGCAAACAATTCTTACAATGTAGCTTAAAGATTGTGTAAACCTCCATCGTCATTACAACATATCAATAATACTTACATCATTAATAAACAAATTTGCTTTAATATAGCTACTTAAAATTAACTCGCAGATTTAAAGTAGGCAACCATATTTTACATTATAAAATAATAGAAATTCTAAAGCTCAAAATACCTCACGCGTCAACGATCATTTGCATGTTTTTATCTAATAGAATATATTTAAAATTATTGGGGCTTATCAATCTTTAAACTTATAATCAAACCCACATCTATGGCTGTACAATTATGGGTAATGCATATCATCCAAGCAAACATTAAAATTATTTAGGAGTATATACAAGACAGGATTCTATGCTTTTTAAAATAATCTTACATCAATCATACTTATTTTAAAAATCTATGTGAAAATTTATTTACAAAATATTAGAAGCAGGGAAGTATAAAAATTATTTGAAACGTGACCATCCCACTCTAGTTCAAATGCACTGCTTAATGGGCAGTTGGAATGTTGAGAACAATTATTAATTTGAAGAACTTTCTTAACTGAACGTTTAGATTAGATTTTAAGATGAGTATGTGATAAACAAGAGTGCTATAATTTGTGATTACTAGTTAGCCAAGTCAGGCCTTCAAAAAGCCCATCTCCTGTGGTGGCACATGCAGGTTGAACATACCAATTCCTATCTCGCATACGCGTTAAACCTAACTTCTCTTGAATCTCATGGGGTTTCATAGCTTCAGGTAAATCCTGTTTGTTGGCAAATATGAGTATAATTGCATCTCGCATTTCCCGATCATTTATAATTCGGTGAAGTTCTTGACGGGCCTCATCAATACGGTCACGATCTGCACAGTCAACCACAAATATTAACCCTTGCGTGCCCGTGTAATAGTGACGCCAGAGAGGTCTAATTTTGTCTTGTCCACCCACATCCCACACATTAAATTTTACATTTTTGTAAGTTACTGTTTCGACATTAAAACCCACTGTTGGAATTGTTGTTACAGATTGACCTAGTTTTAGTTTATATAAAATTGTAGTTTTTCCAGCAGCATCTAAGCCTAGCATTAGTATTCTCATCTCCTTGTTTCCAAAAATTTTTGACAGCAACTTTCCCATTTTAAATTATCCTCACAGGGATGCTTGCCTGAAAAAGAAACACTATTCAATGGCAATGCTTAAAGCAGCAAGAATGATATCTGCAAGTTTCGCCAAATGTTTTTAAATTATTAGAAACTCTCAGAATCATAACAAATTCCGGACAATTTACATAAAAGAAAGGCGTGTATTATCAGTTTTTACGTCATCGACCTTTACTATGTGTGTGTGTGTGTGCGTGCTACTTCAATAATTAGTTGATAAGCTATTCAATAATTGTGCTACATACCACTATTCATTGACAATATTTGCAATCCCTAATAAACTAAAACTACACAGTTTCCTTCCAATGTATCAAAATAAGCTCCATGTTGTCAAAATGTCAATAATTTTACGAACTGATCAGGTTGCCAACCTCACTTAATAAAGTTACTGCAAAAGTAACACGGGAAACGGCTGGAATACTTCTATAGTTAATAAATAACAGTAGGCATAACAATTGTAATAATAATGAAAGCGATAAGTGGATCTTAGAACATAATGTAATGCAAAAAATTTAAAAATGCCTTTATCATATTGGTGATCCTGTCAACATTTGGAATTTTCACAAGCGTCTACGCATGCGCAAAATATCCCCCAAAAAAGATTTTTAATTTTAAAGTAACAGAAAAAATTAAATTACTATTGTAAGAGTTAAGAAATATAAAATATAGAAGTAAAAGAATTGCTGGTATCTTCTGTGTCCATTTACTTTTTGTTTAACATGTCACACTAAGCAACACATGAAAATAATTGCCTTTTTCCACTATCCCAACAAAAGTGAAAGACCAACAACGTAGTACGACCTTTTAGTAGGTAGTACATACTATGTAAATTAATTTCATTATTTCAGGCATATAAAATATTAAGATTTGCAATCAGAAATTTTAAATATTTTAGCAATAATACAACACTTTTTTATTAAATTTTTAGTATTTAATGTGATAAGATATCACTCTTACTTGTTCTATGTGTAGTATACGTAGGCGCTTGTGGTATTTTCTAGATAAGCAGGAAAATCAAAATGTGACAAATACTTATTTGTACCTATTCATATCGACCATAGAACATCCGTCCCATCCCAGTGATATCAACTGCAATGCTTTGAGGCCTAAGTAGAAATGATTTACCTTTTCAAGATAAAAGTTATTCAACAACTTGTTATTAACCATTGAAGGAAAAATTCAATGACATGGGAACAAGATATTTTATGAGAATATTAACTGGTTTGTGCTCAGTTGCAAATCAGCTAAGAAAACTGTTTGCGTCTTCCAACTCTCCTAATGCATTATCAAAATTTCAATGGTTTCTTACAAATTTTAGTTAATATTCGCCATAAATCTAATAGCTGCCAATTAAATTACGCGCCAACTTGACTTGTCAATATCGCTGAGTGCCACCATTGTTGTCAGTTTGCTCCTAGTTCTAAACCAAACACAGTTTCTTGGTAAAATATAAGTACATACAGCATTAAAAGCAGTGTTCGATCTGTTCAGTATTTATCGAGTTGCTATCTAATTTCTTTGATAGTTTTCCAGTAAGAAAAGGTAAAGAGCAAGTAAGTCAAACAGCATAAGTTTTGAAAAATTTTCAAAAATTACTGATAGTTTCAGTATATCGATCTCGAAGTGGCAACGCCGCCGAAACAATACACTTTTAGAGGGGTATAGCGTATACTGGAATAAGGTGGCGTTTCCATTAGGAATCACTTTGGGTAGTGTGTGCTAGTCGTACAAAGTTCTCTTCCATCTTGTTTCTTTTTTGAATCGCGTGTGTAGCCGGCGTGTTGTTATTCTCTATTTAACAAGTAGTCTTTAATTGCAATGTGTAAAAATAGCAAATATTTCAGAAGTATCATCAAAATAAACTAGGTAGGAAGTTCTAAGTGTAAGATATCTTTTTCAAGTATTAAAAGTGGGGAATGGCGTGTGTCTATTCCTACCTGTACATAGTTGTTGGCTATGAAAATGAATTGCACAGATTGGAAGAATCTGGCATGCAGTTATGCTGATTATATGTACTAGATTAGCAAAACTGTGTATTAAACAAGGTAACTAGAGAGCTAAGTTTAACCATTAGTACGTCACACCATTCCTTGCCTTGTGTTATGAAAAAATGTTTAAAGCCCATTATCGTAAATGTCTAAATGTGTAATGCAATCTTTTCTAAATTTCGCAGCAAGTCAACTTCATTCAACTTTTGAGACTACTCCTAAAGCAATGATTTAAATTACGAGGTAAACTATACCAATTTGATGGCTAAATATTAATTGTCACCATATTTTTTATTTCCACATACGCTAATAGTCATTAACGATTATTCCCTACTTAATCATGAGTGCAGGAAGATTCACACGATTCATGCAAATTATCAATACTATTATAAGGTGCTGCAATTCTGATTCACATAAATAAACCTGACCAATGAAACTTCGTAAGATCTAGAATTCATCCGAACCTAATCTGAAAGATCACGTCTAAACCACGAAAACTAATGTAATTATGCTACCAGATTTTTAGACTTTCACCAGCAAAATTTAGTACTAAACCCTAATCTATTATTAAATCTGGTAATTATTTACTTGATGAGACACCGATGTTCGCGATTAATAAACCTTAGCTAAAAATAAAGCTCACCTTATAAAAAATCCTTTTACCAAAAACTTTTCGTAGTGGATTTTTTTGCAAAGATACTGTTTTTGTTCACTTTTCACTTATTAGAATTCACTACTTTTCCATAAGATAACAAAGAATGCCATGATCTCCTCGCCATCTCTTACACCGATGATGAAAAATATTGCACATTTCCCAACTCTATATTTTGTTTGTACTTTATTCGTAGTTACGACGTTTTGTGGGTGCATTTTAAAGTAAGTTTCAGGTAATTTTTTAGTTTTTGGTAGTTTTGGTTAGATTGGTTACCTCCTTTTTACCAATGTTAAACTGCACCGCGGTCTCTACCAAAATGAAGATTCAACCACAGAGATTTGCTGTTTTGTTTGAAATTTAGCAACATAATAAAGTATTGATTTTTGCCCGTGCAGCGTCGTTATAGTGGATGGTGTTAGAAGTGCAAACTATAATGGCGTGCTTTTTTACCTTATTCAAAATTAGTGAATTTCAATCGGCAACACGTGGTAGAAAACCGCATTTTCGCAAAAAACCACCACTACGAAAATTATAGTATATGGTATAGAAAATAAGGCGAATATGATGTTAATTGCGATCGCGTGAACCTGATCACCTGGATAATTACCTTAAATTGAAATTTGCGTTTATTGGTGTGATGTATAGGATAAACCAACTCTATTGGTCGTTTGCACCGTTTTGTTAAAGCAAGGATTGATATTTGGTCCAAGTTCGAACAACAAACTCTCGGGCTTGGACCGGACAGGTCAGGATTGTAAGATAAACATTTCAAAACGGCGCCAATATGACCGTAATTATCAAGTGAATACTACGAAGCTCTGCTATTTATTCCACCATGACTCTGATGAAAATAAAACTAAAAAACGTTTGGACGTTTTTTTTATGTGTATATTTCAGATCATGTTTTCTCTACTTCTAGTCAATACTGACATTTATTGCTGAATCAGTGAATAATAGGAGCAGAACAACAGCAAGCAAATATACTTATCTATCAGTTTTAAGTTGACACAGTAATTTTTTCAGTTTGTGGAGTTCCTCCATATGTTAGATGTTTTCTGACTGCCCCATCTAAGTATAATATTGATATGGCTGTACCTAGTCGGGCAAGAGTTTATGCTGACGTTAATTCCCACAAACCCCGGGAATACTGGGACTATGAAAGTTATGTAGTAGAGTGGGGACAACAAGACGATTACCAATTGGTTCGCAAGTTAGGACGAGGAAAGTACAGCGAAGTTTTTGAAGCTATTAATGTAATAAATAATGAAAAATGTGTAGTGAAAATATTAAAGGTTTGTAGTTAATTATTATATGATACTGTTGAAAGTACAGGTCAATATACCAATACTGTCCTTTGTTGCAGCCAGTTAAAAAGAAGAAAATTAAACGAGAGATAAAGATCTTGGAAAATCTAAGGGGGGGAACTAATATAATCACTTTGGAAGCAGTTGTTAAAGATCCTGTTTCTAGAACTCCTGCTCTAATTTTTGAGCATGTTAATAATATTGATTTCAAACAGCTATATCAAACCCTAACAGATTTTGATATACGATTTTATTTATACGAACTGCTCAAAGCACTTGATTATTGCCATAGTATGGGAATAATGCATAGGGATGTCAAGCCCCATAACGTGATGATAGATCATGAAAGTAGGAAATTACGCTTAATCGATTGGGGTCTTGCCGAATTTTACCACCCTGGACAGGAGTACAATGTTCGAGTGGCCTCAAGGTAGGTCAACCAATTGAAAATTACTGTGATTAATGTGATCAGAATTCTATTGCTTTAGATATTTTAAGGGTCCAGAATTGCTGGTGGATTATCAAATGTATGATTATTCGTTGGATATGTGGTCATTGGGATGTATGTTAGCTTCAATGATCTTCAGGAAGGAACCTTTTTTTCACGGACATGACAATTATGATCAGTTAGTTCGCATTGCCAAAGTGTTAGGGACTGAAGAACTCTTGGAATATCTTGATAAGTATCATATAGAATTAGATCCACGATTTAACGACATTTTAGGAAGGCAAGTGTTTATTGTATTTCATTGAACGGATAAAATATATCTAAACAGTAACAACATTTCAGACACTCCAGAAAAAGGTGGGAGCGTTTTGTACATAATGATAATCAACATTTAGTGTCTCCGGAGGCCCTGGATTTTTTAGATAAGCTCTTGCGTTATGACCATTTGGAACGCCTAACAGCTAGAGATGCCATGGAACATGCGTATTTCTGTATGTTACCGGTGGAGTTGATTGAACTATTTTTGCCAATTTTCTTTTGTAGACCCTGTAGTAAAAGAACAATGTAGAATGATGTCGACTGTGTCTTCATCACCAACCCCTTTGTCAGGAGGCTTATCTGTGGTCGGCGTTGGCGAGTGATCTACGCAGCAGAAGTAAAGTAACAAGTATGATTTATGCCATACCAAGAATAAAATAGTTACTAGTTCTGTCCTATTCATGGCTATATTTTAAAGATGTGTACTCCATAAACATGTACACAGGGTCTGGATGGGATTTAAGTTTGACATGTTCTCTAATGTATTCCTTTGTATGTGGTATTTGTTGCTCGAGAATGTGTGAAATGTGTTCTCATCTCTTCTCAAATTTTGAACTTTTTTTCTCATCACGTTTACCTTTTTTTAAACCTGTACATGTTCCTAAACAACATTCTTTTTTGTTAACACATATTGTATCCTAAATTGTTTTGTTGTGGTAATTTGCTGGTAACAGCTATACTTCTGCCGTGTCATTAAATCTACAGAATTGCGAAATTGTGGTCAAATCCCAGGTATGTTAGTTGTGCCTTCATATTCGTGAAGTTGCAGTTCGTGTATATATTGTCAAAATTAAATTTTTTGTTTGCTATTAGGCGGTTAAGTCTTTGTAGAAAACGGTAATTTACTTGTATTGATTTGGCTATGCTATGAACATACTTGTTTACTTAATTATACCTTAACTTAAAATTATATTACAAATAATTTTTATTGGTAGTTATTTATTTGCAATTGTTTAATTACATCCTAACCACTTGTTGAACAGTTATCCAATATCATCTTGGGTTTAACAAATTAGTGTGTACGTCCATTTGTTATTTACTGAAAGGTTAATAACCTGTTCGAATGTGCCTTTTAATTTTGTTTTGGGCAAATATACATACCATAACTAGAGTATGGCTGTGTACCTTAACCAAATAACATTAGAATATCAAGGTTCTATCTCGTAGCCTAATGTTATTAGATTCATCTAAAAATTGTCGTCAAACATCATAATATGGTATGCGTACTTGCAGTTTCGATCAGTTTTTTGTACTATTGTAAAGCGTTGGTTTTTTTTTTCTCTTTATTAACTGCCAGAAATTATGAGTCGCTCCGAGTTTGCTCTCAAACTCATTGATTTCAGCTAAACCTATATGAAACGGACTTGAATTTAATGCACTGATATATGTCTGAATGCAGTTAAATTGGTTATACATTTCTCCATCCACCTGTTACCTGGGCGAAATTATTATGATACAACATTAATCTTATACTTACGATTTCAAATTAAGTCGCGGTTTTTTCTAAACTGATTGATAACAATGTTAGGTCATATTTCATTTGTTATCAAAGGTTAAGAGTTCAGGAAGTTGCAAAATTGTTACCCACTGTTAGAAAACTAATGACTTCAATTCAGCATGAAACGACAGATAAGACATTCTGATCATTTGAATGCAAATTTAGTATTGTTAATGTACAGATATTTCTGTATTAGTTGAATTAATATTTTCAGAAACCAATGCTGTTTAGTTTTTAAATTACGTATTTTGAGAACTTTGGAAACCTATTATAATGTTTCTCAATGAAGCCTTGCATCAACCAAATCGTTGTCAGTATTAAAACTACTCAATGAATAAAACCTAATATGAAAACTTTTTTTGTTATTTGCATAGTATCTGAAGAATTCTTAGAAAAACATTCAAGTTCTTTATATGGTGACAACCACTTTATTGTGGTCAGATTTTCAACAAGACTACATTTTCAGTAATGCAAGGAAAATGAAAATACATTTTAATAATTTTGTTCGAATTCGATCAGCTAGGAATGAATGGTTTGAAGAGAGAATTCATTACACTACATGGTGAAATAACACCCCTTTATTCAGTTTATTAACAAAGAAAAGCTTGTAGGTTCGGACTGACGTGCTACATATACAAAAATATTGTGCCTAGTTAAATAGCCGCTTAAATTTATTTAACAGATTTCAGTTTTTCATTATTTGTTAAACCTAAAATATAAAATTTCTATCAATTGAACGTGATGGTGATGTACCGGTCTTTATTCGCACAACCAATCGCATGGCAATCGAGGCATTTTATTAGCAGGCCAAGGTAAATATCCTGCTGTTTTGAATACCCAATAGTCATAAGATACTTTTGCAATTAAACCTAAAATTATTAAGTAAAATGGTTGAAATTTTATTATATGTATGGAAGGAAGGTCGATCTTACCAACTAACAGCAAAACTTCCGCTGTTATGATATAGTATATATAATCAGTCCAGTCTTGGGGGCTTTGACACATTTTAGCTGCATCTAATTCAATTACTTTAACATTCATGTTATAACACTTTATGTCATCATAATCAGGAATATGACTAATTTTTGACAATAACCACACCTGAAAAACTTTAAATGTTTTAATTCACCATTAACCAGACCACCACCTCTAATCATTGATGGTCCTTTGAACAATAGACTCAAGGGTATATGTATATGTACCTTGAGCTTCATGGTATTACAGTCGCACTGCAATTTATTGAATCCTAGTTTAACTCTCCGTTGATTATAATTTCTTTCAAACTGAATATTATCCAATACATACGTCTCCAACTGAAAGATTTATAATTCAAATTGAGATGTTACATAATTCAATATAATTGTTAAGAACACAGTGAACAGTACTCACTACTTTAATCCCATTCCATTGCAAGCTTAATGTATCAAAATTACTAATGAATTTGGTACCTTCTAAGGGTTGAATTGAGGATATTTTATTATTATCCGCTATAAAATGTCTCAGATTTTGATAGGATGGATCACTTAGTTCCTTAATAGAGGATATCTGTAATCAGACAATATTATTTGCAAATTTTATTAGTAGTTAGTTAATTACTTACATTGTTATTGCTTACATCCAAGGATATTGTGTTATCAGGTAGAGGTACTGGTAAAGAGAGAAATTCTTTATTTGAACAGTTTATGGCGACTTCAAACGCCGGAAGCTTTCCTTGAGATAGGTTCAGTCTATAAGTCGAACAGGTACAATTTTCGTGACAATTTTTCTGTAACTGAAAGACTCACTAAATTATAGATGAACATATCCCGATACGTTAAGCATCATCATACTTCGTGAACGGCTTTAACTTGAGAGAATGGTATTTTTTCCGCTGTTCGAAACCAGACAAAATCCTTAGAAGTAATGCAAAATGTGTCGTTCTCGTGATGAAATATAATCTCAGAGCGATTAGACAGTGTATTTAATTCTGAGCAAATGAGGTTTGCATTATCTAAAAATCGATTCTTTGTAAAATATATGTTTAAAGATTCTAAAGATCAAATAAAAAAATGTGCTGAAAATTCTCCTCACTTGATATGTCCAGTATCAGCGTTCCTTTCCTGACACTCGGTACTTTTGTTAAATTATTATGTGACAAATCCAAAATGCCCAGATTATATAATGACCCCAATGCTCTCTCTTCTATTGAATTGATATGATTAGAGGACAAGTTTAGACAGGATATATTACTGTGTTTTGCAAATTCGCCGTCTATTCTACGTATATTTCCATTTGTAATCGTCATATAACGGAGAAGTCTCCATATAGGTTGGAACACACTTAAGTTAAAAGAATCCAGTGCTGCATTCCTAATATGGAGTGATTCAATTTTTCTATAAGTAATATCTGAAAAATAATTGCTGTCAATATTGTTGTTTGAGAGTGATATTTATATTAATGCATTAACGTTCACCAATCACAATACAATTTTGCTTACTGGAACAGGCTAATCCCTGTTTAAGAGTAATTTGATTTACATCACAACACACTGCGGCTTTCTGACAATTCGTGAGTAAACGACACCTGCAACTACTCTCGGGTGGTGGACATGCTTTTGATGACTGATGGAAGCATTCATTAGTGCAGCTACTATCATCAGGAGGTAACAGAGACAATGATGGTAAAATCAAAACTACCCCTATTAAAAGGTGGAATGAGATCATCTGAAATAGAACATGGGAATAATAAGTCATTTACAGCTTCTAGTTCATAGAAATTCAAAGAACCAAAAAATAGGTTAACTTTAAGCTAGAGAACCAATTTGGTTGGGTAAACCTGGATTTTTTAACTCTAGCCAGCACAGCAAGATTTACAATAATACCCACATCTCTATCGAATCAATAACGTAACACATAAATATTTTGAAATATCAACAACAAAATGATAATGCTTAGATTTATAGAGTGAAATAAGCCACAGAACATCCCCCCTATCATTAGGGGGGATATTCTTGTGGCGAATCTTGACAACACGCATTCGCCCCAAAAGGTTGGCTGATGTTGGCAACCCTGCTGGATGCCAGACACACCAATAGGCCGCGGCGAGAGAGACAACATCGCAGACATCTCTCTCTCGAAGGGACAACGCCCAACAACAGGCGCTCACGTTTGGTGCAAGTCATGTGCAAGTGGGCATGAGCGTCCAGCGTCCCTCCCATAAGCCTTGTTCTATGGTCCCTCCTCAACAGGAACAGAGACAAGTTGTCTCTTGACAGGAAGTCTCAGTTTGCACCTTCGCGCGCGCACATCCCGCTTATGCTTTATTTATTCTTAGTTGATTAAAATTTGTTTATTTTAAGTGCGCTTTATTGTGTAACACAAGAAAGCCCAGATTCTTCCGTATATAACCTAGAAAATACTGCTGGAACTTTGCGCAATGTTGTCAAATATTTGAATTCTAGGTGGATATAGAGTATCTTATCTACATGACTATTAATTACTCTTTGCTTATGGTTGATGGTATAATTTGCCCCATTTTTTGGGGGGATTTTTTGTCTTTCCACCTGTGGGCAAGTCGGGTCATTTCAAAGATTCGGATTCGAAGTCAGGTCTGGGGTCAACGGATCCATAACCAGATCACGAATCGGAAAAGAGCCACAGGAGGTCTTTTTGCCTCCTTAATAAAGGGTATGGTAAAAACATCCGGCTTGTGTTTAAATCAAGGAATCAAATAACGGTATTTATCTGTCAAAGTGGCGTCAAATTCTTCTTCTTGTAATAAACCGCTTGGTTTTAGCTACGCAATGGCAGAAATCATCTGTTTATAGGGATGTGCCGTATGCACGTACTTTCAACATTCCGATTCATTAACGTACGTTCATTACATTTATGAATTAAGGACTTAAGTAAACGGTCGCATTTACATCGCGGTGTTAAGTGGGATTTTATGAATTAAGTTAAGGATTAAGTTTAAGAATAAAATTACGACTTCTTTTGTTTGCCGGGCGGCTGGAGGAACAAAAATCTTCGCTAAGACACGGTGTTCCGAACCCTGGGTAGTGTTGGATTCTTACCAACTAAAAAAACCCCTATTTTGTGCTACGAGTTTTCGGGAGTTATCCTTTAAAACTTGTGGTCCTCTCTAAGAATTTGTCAGGCGCGGCATCCGTATGCCATAGAGAATTACGACGTTGGGTAATTCAGCACTAGTTGTACTACAGTTGCACGATACTTTATTTTTAGACATATAAAAGATCCGAGACCCGTATTTGAAAAATTTCAAGATCCGGATCCGTCGGGTCTTTTTAAAGATCCGGATCCCTGAATCGGGTCAGTTCCGAGCCGCCCATCACTAGTATTCATCTATGAATGGCACTGACTTCAGAAACTCGTTTTGTTAGCATAGAGCATGTGGAACTGTGATCATAAATTAATCGTAATTGTAAACCAGCAGAAAAAATGCTTCAAGTAATTGATGATTATTGTGGATATAACTTAATTTAAACCATAACTGTGGCTTTTTCGTTTAGCGGACGCCATACGCCATATTAATTTAAACCTAATCTGAGCTTTTCTTAGTTTTTATCCTTTCATATATCTTTCACTATATCACATATTTGAGCACTTGTGATTTACGATACTACGATGGAACGGTTATGGTATTCTCCTCCCAGACGAAGTATGAGCATATCTCCTGAACCTCACAGACGAAATTCGAGGTCGAAATCCAGGTCCCCAGGACACTACACCAATAACAGAAAACATAACGGCTATAACAATCATATTAAACGAGGTAAATGTAAGTTTATTCAATATTTATTTAGTGAAATGTATGTACTTGTTGACCAAAAACTTTTTCTATATGTCGGAGTTTTCAGTGTCAATTAGAGTTAATAATCGCAGCCTATAATGCGTTACAGTACGATCTACTTCTGATGTGACTTCACTTTCACTCACTGGAATTTCTTGGCTACTTGTATTTATTAATAAACATCAACTTCCATTGCTTCGGAAACACAAACTACATGTTGTCTTTTTTATAGTAAATAAATACGAAAAAGTGGTTGAAGATAGATTGAGACATGGGTCGGATTACGACAGCGATAGAGAACATCGTCGAGAACCTTCATATGAAAAAAAAAAAAGCAGATCAAGAAGCCCATCCTATGACTATAGAGATAGAGATAGAGAACGGGACAGAAGGCATCATCGTACCCGCGAAAGAGATAGGGAAAGAGACTATCATCGTTCCAGACGTAGATCTTGGAGTAATGATAGTAGATGGGAAAGGGATGAAAGAAAGGCTCGTGACAGAGAGAGATATCGTGACGATGATAGGGAAAGTGATAGGTACAGGTTTTTCGGAATGGTTCTAAAGTTTATGATAGTCTGACTTCTAATACTTATGGTATTATAATTTTAACAGTGAAAGAAGTCCTAACAGAGCTGTCATTGGAGCTAGTGGTTCAGAAATTATCGGATATAAGAGCCAACCGCCAAACAATACAATTATGATACGAGGGTTGGCTCAACATATTACTGAAAATGATGTCAGTATAAACGTTTAGTCACTGTGATTCCATATTATAATGGTTTTATCAAATTTTAGATCAGGCAAGACATTATCCAAGGAGGGTTGATGCCAAAGGATATCAGACTAATCAGGAAAAAAGCTACAGGTAGGGCACCCAAGTGATTGTATGTTTTCGGTTGTCTTTAGGCAATATTCTTCATAATTTCAAGCCTAAAGTTAGCGTAATGCCATTCGTATCTATTGTGCTGTTTAGGTACATCACGTGGTTTTGCCTTTGTCGAGTTCGCAACACTGAATGAGGCGGTTCGTTGGATGGAGATGAAACAGGTATCTTAGCTTACATTGAAGAAATTGTTTAAAAAATCATGATGTCACTTTATACGTATATGCCTATAAACATGTAGATGTACATACATAAATATATGTATATAAACATATATCATTCAATTCGCGAGTTTATCGTTCAAGACAGCCAGCCTTCATACCAGCCTTTCTTAAATTATCACTGTGACGTTACACTAAAGAGTTCAATTTGGCTTGAGAAAGCAAACAAACGGAATATTAATTTTTGCTTCAAACAAGTTCTAGGGAACGAAAAGGTCTCTAAGAGAGGGGTTGGTTACTTTTTCTCACTAAATCGCTAATATACACAATATTATTTCAGGGTGTCCTGATGCTTCAGGACCACTACAGAGCCATCATGCAGTTCAGCATACCTAAAGACACGAATCTTATTGAAAAACCCCCACCCCACAAAGCGTCAGCGGATTGGTTTTGCATTAAGGCAAGTTTTGTTGTTGGGCTGCAATATCAAGAGATGTTTCAATTGGATTTTATTTATTTCCAGTGCGGAGCGCAGAACTTTAGAAGAAGGGACAATTGCTTCAAATGTCATGCATCTAGAACTGAATCCGAAGAAGGGGGCAGTGGTAGTGATGAGACTTGTTCATATACCACAAAAAGTATGTGCTTTTCAAAACTGAACCGTTTAATTCCTATTTGCTATATTTTTTTCGCGTATTTTTATTGTTCGTTTCATTTCAGCTCTTTTGCTGAGAAACTTGGATGCCTTAACTACTGAAGATTCCGTCATGTCAGTTTTAAATATTCTGGTTCCAGAGTTAGTCAAATCAATATCAGCAGTTTGTATAGGCAGAGATCCTTTAACTTCAACGTCCCGCGGAATTTGCTACTTAGGTACTGAAAGCACTATTGACGCTTTGGCGATATTCGGCGCTCTGAATGGATTGCAGAATCCACTTACTATCGATGGAAAAACTGGTTGGTTAAATGTCAATTTTTTAAAAGTCAGCAGGCTTTTTCACTTAATTCAATTTCAGTTATATTGTCCTATTGCAAGTACAACATGGGGGACACGAAGAAAGCTTACTCCCAGGCTGACCACGCCGCCTTTCCAAATGCTTCGATACCCCAGAATTATGCAATGACCGATGTGGATAGTTTAGCTGAATATGCCGCCAGGAGATATGCGAAATCCGCGGATGAATATATGCATTACATCGAATATTACAGAGAATATTTTACACAACAAATAAGCGCAGGAAATTCAATTACATTGCACAATGAAAATCAAATGGACTCTGCCAATGCTGCTGCTGCCGTTGCCCAATCCGCAATCCAACAAATGCACGCAACCAAAACATACTACGACAACACTCACATGCAAATTCCTACCGGAACTGATGGCAAACGATACCGTAAGTAATTTTTAATTCTACGTGAGAGCGAAGTTGTGAAATTGTGATCATTTGATATCTTCACATTGGAGGAGTCTTTACTGCAATCAACGCTGATTTCAAAACATGCATCAAAACTGTTTTTCACTGGTGTACTCTATATTTTGAGATTGCCTTAAACCAAAATTTAATTTTAGCAATTCCTGATAGTTCGTCATATGTCTATGATAAATCAACCGGGTACCAATATGATTCGAGTACAGGATTGTATTATGACCCCAACTCGACCTACTATTGGAACAGTGTAATTCAGAAATACCTATTTTGGGACAATGACAAATGCACATATTTGCTCGCCCCTTCCTACAACAGCTTTAATTCCAGTAGTACGTCAACGAGCTCAGGCAGTTGCAATTCCGACGAAAAAGGGAAAAACCCATCTACAATCAATTCAAAGCCCTCTGTGGAAAAGCAGGATAAAGTTAAAGTGGCTAAGAAAATCGCCAAAGATATGGAACGATGGGCAAAAACTTTAAATCAAAAGAAGGAAATTACAACCTGTAGAAGTATATCCGAAGGCAATTTATTGTTCAACAGTGCTAGCGCAGATATAGGGTTTTCAGTATTAGAAAAAAAAGCAACGGTACTTGCGCCATCTGCGCCAATGTTTAAAAACGATGAAGCAGATATTCCCGAAGCTCCTAAGCCTCCATTAGTAGCTCCATATGGCGAGAGCGAATCTTCTGGAGAAGAAGATGAAGAATCACTATTAGATTTCCGTAAATTAATCTGCAATCTTTGCAAAAGACAACTTGGTTCGGCTGAAGCTCTTCAGAAACACGTTAAAATGTCTGCGTTACATAAACAAAACCTGGAAGCAAGGAGAAAGAAAAAATCTGAGGACAATCCAAGCAAAATTGTATACAGGGACAGGGCAAAGGAGAGAAGAATGAAATATGGTGATCCTGATGAACCACAGCCAAGTAAATTGAAAGAGAAGTATCTGAAAGCATTGAATACTGACATTCCAACTGCGTCGGCGTCTGTAATGGAACCAATTGGTGCTGAAAATGTTGGAAACAAGTTGCTTCAAAAAATGGGATGGACAGAAGGCCAAGGTCTTGGAAAGTCTAACCAAGGAAGAACGACGATTATTCAAGTGAGTATATTGTTTTGAAAAGAATAATTCATGCTATAACCTTTTGCCTCCAAGTTAACTACATTGTCTATTTCTTTCAGGCCGAGCAGTATGGAAACTCCGTAGGTTTGGGCAACAAATTGGCAGGATACACAGCTGGCGAATCATATAAAGACTGTGTTAAAAAAATGATGTATGCGAGGTATCAAGAACTTACTGAAAGGGAGACATCCAATTGATTGCAACTTTGCAAAGAACTACTTCACAATTAAGACAACACTTTCTTTTGAAATTACTTCTTTAAACGTGACCTTTACATTAAGAGATTTCAATTTGTATTGTACCGACCTTTATTTAATTTATTTTCAAATAATAAGTTTAACTTTCTTTATATATCTATTTATTAGACAATATTCAAAACAATATAATTTTCAAATGAGGAAACTTTCGAAAATTTTGACAAAGCTTAAAAGTATTTGCTTATTGTTTCGGGAATTAAATATAACAATAATCCAAAAAGCCCTTACATGTGCCTAAGGATCTTAATAGTGAAAGTGTACATTGTGTTGAAAAATGGCGGATAAAACGGAATAGGAACATAAAATTTTGATAGCCATTTATTTAAGATTTCAATTGTCAAAATGTAAATCTAAATATAAAAATATAGTTAAATTCACAAAACGTAATTCTGGGTTTCACTTTAAGTCAGCTCAGTAGAGAGTTATTGGACGCTCAATAAGGGCATGCAGTAATAAAGTTTGTGGTATTTTGACACATTATTTCTGCCTTATACTGGCAGTTGACATTTCTAACGTTCGCTTGCAGGTTAAGTCACACATCACTAACCTCTGATGATCTGTGGCCACTGAAAACAGTCAACTAGGCATTCCAATAACTATCATTTCATTAGAGAAATAACACAAATTAATTATATAGTATTAAAATAAGGATTAACCTTATGACTGCAATACAGTATCTATAATTTCCTATAACTCTCTAGTATGTCTGTATAAACAGAACAGTACAGTACGATGAGCAACGACTCTGCAACGTTTACGTAACATATTGCGCTTAGTCCTGTGATTTTCTATGGTATTAATAAAAATCACTGGCTTTGTTCAATAAGAAGTGATATATAAGTGAGCACGTCGTAGCTCATTCTGCTTGTTTGTGACGTTACTGTTTTTGTTTACTTTAGACGCTCTTAATAACATTTGTTATTAACAATGCGGAAGAGGTGCAGAGAATACGAACAGCTTTTAATTATAAAGCTGGAAAACTATTTTCATAGTTTAGAATAGTTTTAGAATGTTGACCCGAAGAACTCCACTACTGGATGGACTAGATGGAACATTTGCGGTGGCCTGACGTAACGTTACTGACTCATTACTCAAACTAAACTTTTATTTGTAACGGCTTGACTGGTTTATATTCTGGATTTAATGCGTTTGCAATATAATTCTATGGCATGTCCTATCTGACGCATTTCTATAAATATCAAGCCTAAAGTATAAGAAGGCATTAGCTGAGTTGACCTTATTTCGGGAGTATGTTAAAAAATTTATTTATCTACATCGCTATTATACAAATATACACAGTACTGCTTTTATCACATTGATTATTTAAAATTATTGCAAAAATATTCAAAAACAGAAAAAATAAATCGTTAAGATGTTAATAACAAAAACCTTGTTGGCCAAAATACATGATATAAATACATATTTATTAGATTAGGTTTGCGAAGATATGAAAGCTAGACTATTTGGTATAAATACTTGTACTCAAAGATGGATGACTTGAAAGTTTACAGAGAAGCAACATATGTAATTGTACCATTTGCGGATGAACAACGTAAATCAATTAGTAATGTAAATACCGAACAGGAAATCAACGTTTTGATGGAGGTACTAAATGGTCTGGTAGCTCAGATGGCAACTCGTTTCCTTCTATTTTGATGTTGATCAAATGCATCGCTAAAGCGAATTCATCGTTGTCCAACATGCCATCTTGATCCACGTCAGCCAACTTCCACACTTTGCTTAGAACTGTGTTAGGCAATTTTGATTTTACCATTTCTGATTTGGCAGCTGCAAAAAAGTCGAACATTTTCTATATCATTTAATATAAAATTGTTTTCAAGATATAAGACACATTTGACAAAACACAAACATGTAAATATAATTTAGCATACCTTTTCTGAATTTGAACAAAATATATACACGTTTGCGGTACCTATAAAAACTAAGTAATGGGGTGAACAGATAAACGGATAATTAATTAACTTTCTATTATTAATTGAAGAAATTAAATTAGTCCTGTAGGTAAACATGTTTTATAAATTTGAAATTCAAGTGGCAGTTAAAAAGCAAATAAAAATGCACTTAATAGATAATCAAAAGATAGCAATACAGTTATGTCCCTGTATTTACTGCATACTTTAAACATAATTACTAAAAGCAAGCTTTATAGACGCACATTAAACCGCACATGAGCAGAATTCCATAACCAGATTCGTCCGCTTTAGTCTGTTTCCTTGGACATTTAAAAAATAAGCTTCATGGGTAATTGACTGGCCTCGAAAAATGATAAAAATTTCAAACTGTGTTAATATTTATCTCTAGTTATGTAGAGAAATTTTGCTTTACTAAAATATGTACTAGCGTCGAATTTCAAGTACGCCGATGACTGGTCTCCTCAATTCCAAACGAATTATGATGTCATTATTTTGAGTCATTAGGTTGACGAATTTTAGAAGAATTATTGAGTCCAAGAGTAATGTTTTGCATTTGTGAAAGAAAGCAACTAGTCATTTAGCTAACGGGACAAAAACACAGGGAAGATACTTTAACAAGATCTGCAACACTCAGACTTAAGAGCCAATTGATGTGTTTAAGACCGTATGTTGGAAATCGTTAATGTTACATTTAAAAAATGTTTTCATTTGCCTACTTTATGACATAAAAACGTTTTGCAACATACACGCACATATTATTATGTGAAAACCATTAGCGTGAACAATTATGCCAAATGTAAATTTCGTCAACTCTGAACGGAAAACGGAAATTCAATTTTAGGAAATGTATTTTTGGTCAAAAGCTCATGATTACGCCAATCAATAAACTCAAGACCGAAGTTTAAAACTTTAGTTGTTAGGAATTTGAACAGCTTCTTCTTAAATGTTGAACTTGTAGAAAATGCGCATTAGTATAAATCATCTCCAAATAAAATAGGAGCTGACAAATTGTTTTCATCTATTGAGTGCTGATTTATCCTATTCTAAAGATCGTTTTTAAATCGCGATTCTTCTCCGTTCCGAACAATGGCTACAATTCGTATGCACAAAAATTGGCCTTATAAAACAGTAAGCACTAGAAACTCAACATGAAGAATAATTTCGTAGCTTACATCGTTTTAGAGACCAGTATTTCTTTTTTTTCTTCCAAATCCCTATCAGAGTTGGGGGAGCATTCAAAACGGCTAAAAAACAAGGAAGCAGATTATTTTTTCAGGTAATAATGCATCAGAGTCCAAACTAGTCGAGTTTAAATCCTTTTCGTGGTTCACTCAAAGCATATGGCAAATAAAATATGTCGCAGCTATTGAAAGGACATTAATGTAACCACTAACAAAATGGGGTACATGAAATTGTGTTTTAATTTTATATAATTGAAACGTAATTAATAGTAAAAGTTAAATAATCAGTACGTGTTTATAAAATATAATGACGAATACATCATAAATGATGTCATCGTTGAAACGAATCAACGAAGTTGTAAAATACACGTATGATAAAAGTATTAAGTACCTATAAAGCAAACTTGATAAGATCTAAATCCTACTAAATAACATAATGCCGACAGCTCTATTTATGAAATGTTACTCGTCTACAGATGTAGAAATATTCTGGTTAATTTTCAATTAACGCTTGCGAATTTTGCAACTGTAAAAAACTTATGAACACATTTAAGTTTAGAATAGCATACTTTACCTAAAAATATTGCGTACCTGCTGCTAGATATAGGTATCATAGGAACCACAAGGTGACAGGTATGTAACCAAGCAACTGGATTTGACCGATTCAATGAAAACAAAATTGTTGATGCGTTTAACTTAACAATAAAGCTGAAGTTGTTAATTTCGAATGCACATTGTGTAATAGAGCAATGACAAGAATCGATTAATATCGAAATTGCTGATGCAGTTCGTTACTGTGACGGACCATTTACCGAAAAATTGATTTAATTTGAATCAAAGCGACTGCGGTTTTGTCAATCATTTCAAAATGTATTTTCCGATATTATTTATCGTCAATCAGATCTGGAGACGACGATCCATCATTATGATAATGATTATTATGGCTTTGTATCTAGAGTATATATGGATTGAAATTATCGAACTTTATAAGTGAATCTGTAAGCAATTAGGCTGTTCCTTGTACAGAATAGGTAGGGAATAGTGAATAAAAATAAAATCTTGCTAGTTGTACCAAACAAATTTCAACTTCATATAGTTGTTTCGAATTTTAATAAGCAATACCTATCAATAATTATACCTAATTGAAAAAACTTGAAAACCCATGATAGGCATCTAATACATTATATAATGACTTAAAACGGGATTAACCAAATGTTATCAAGTAAGTATTTACTTAGTTACGCGCCAAATTCCAGAAAATAGTGACATCATATGACACAAGTATAATATTTGATTATTTATCTGTGATCTTAATTGATGTAGACGATGTACTCAAGATTTTATGTTATTCCAATAGCTGATAAGAATCAGCGCAGAATATAGGTTCTTCGGCAGATATTGTTTGCAATTATGTGCTACGTAATTGACAGTTTTTTTTAAAGCAATGTGAAAATAAAAAAAATGATCGAAAGCCCATTGTGGCCTACTTGAGATCACATTCAAAGCAAGTGAATAAAGTGTTGATAGCTTCTAAGATTCAAATAAAACAACACAAAATAGCTGTATGCAATGCGCAAGAAATGCGTCATTTGTGCTTTGGGCAATAATTGAATGCTTACCCATTCCAGTGACTTTTCCACCAACGGGGTTCAACTGATTGAAAACTTCATCGTATCTGGGTTTTTCCCTATTTACAATCCAATCATGTTCACCAGCGCCTGCATCAATTCCTTCTCCCCTTTTATAACCAAATGGAGATGCGGTATCTTCCACGTTATTAAAAGCTCCACCAGAAATATTTCCATTTGGACTGTTGGTTGAAGTGTCTTCCAGGGGTATAATTGCCATCAATTTTGATATGTCATCGGCCAGCATTCTATCTACTATTTCTAGTAATTTAACTTTTAGCGGATTGAATTTTGTAAAGTCCAGGTTGACCAAAACTTCTTGCATTTTTTTTATTTCAGGAAAATCTCCTTGAGAAATTTGGTGCTCCCTCTGCAATTTGTCATATATTTGACTCAAATTCTTGATTAGGTCCTTTTTCTTAGAATCCTTTCCAAACACTGAAGGCATTTCCTTTCTAAGTTCTGCAATAATAAAAGCATGTACTTTGGCCAATCTTGCCCTTTTAATTAAGTCATTCAGCTTTCTTAACGCTGCATTTCTTGGTAGTGATTGCAGGTCTTTAAATAAATCTTGTTCTTCATCTTCAAACAATCGCCGATTTCCATCATATCTTAAAGGCTGATCCCAGAATGAACCAATGTAAACTCTAGCAACTTCAGGCGTTTGCAACACTTTTCCTAAAGACCACATAAGTGCTCCGTAAACTCTCATTAGTTGCTGGTGGTCTATCATGTCAGCTTTATTTAATACAATCCGGATCTTATCATCATGACCTCTAAGAGCCTCAATAGAACGTCTAAATTCATCAGAAATATCAAGCTTATGAGCATCAAATAGTAAAATTATTCGATCCACTCTTTCAGCAAACCATTCCAGAACTCCAGTAAAATCATATCCTCTGTCAACACGTTGTTTTTCGCCAGAAAGTATCCCAGGGGTATCAACTATCGATATATTTTGAAGCACTGGAGACTTAACTAGAGAACACTGCAGGCGATTCAAAAACGAATTTCCAAATTTCGATAGAGGTCTGAATTGTCTTTTAGGATCAACTACTAAGGCGTTTCCAGGTATTATACCTTCTTTTTCATCATACATAACAGCAATGAATCTATCAGTTGTAGGTTCAGGCCCAATACGTATTCCAGGAAACTCTCGCTCAAGTAAATATTTAATGAAAGTTGTTTTACCTGTTGAGTACTGACCGACGAGTAAAATCATAGGCTTGGCATCGAAATCTGAATCTTCCAATTTTGGGCTGTGAAATTCATGAAAATTGTAGTGTTCCTCGAGAGGTAGTAATTTGTTTTTGTAAATGTCTTTCAAGCCCTCAATGACATTGTTGTAAACCTCTTGTTTATTGTTGTCCCTTGTTAACCAGCTGAACATTTTTCTAAAATCACTTCACTTTGCTTCTCAAGTCCTAATTAGAGAGAAAAATTAACAAACGGGCGTACCTATATTGTAAGTAACTCAATGACAACTGATCTCTGGACAACTGTCATGTTGTGACGACAGTTTAGCAGTGTTGACAGTTTTCTTGTAAGCTGAAAGTACCTACATTTTAGGACTTTTGAGTTCCAACTCTGTAGGTAACATTCAAAGGATTTTTGAAAAACCTTATCTCTACCTCTTATTATTACTGAAAGCCGAGTTCCTTCTTTAAACGCGCATTTTTCTTAGATTATAATTGACTGAAAATAAAATATTTTTCCAAATTCACCTAATATTCCTTCATATTGGCATCACTGTTATATACAGAATGATTACATTGGTATTGGTAAGAAATGGATAGGTAAGCTGCAGGCACATATCACATAGGTTGTGACTCTGGGCTTTTTTCAGACCATAGAATAGAGTAAATAAAATAATATTTATTTTTATTTAATTTATGTATGAAATTATGGTATTTTCCATATGGAACATAGAATACATGTTAGTATGCAGCCGAGATAAGTCACCCTCATTTTTGTTCAATCAAACTATAAATTCCGCACAGCTAGGGACAAGCACAGACATAAGTCTCGCTCTATGGACAGACTACTCACTATTCGATTCATGGTTCCATCGAAAGCAAAGACAATGACTTGATACAAATTAACTTTTACTATTTTCAATACAGCAATTATAACTGAATTTGATTATTTTTCCACCAATCTCTATCGCCTAGTGGCATACATTGTTTAGTTGCTTGTTTTAATCACAAGAGTAGTTCTAAAGTACCTATGCACTTTCCTAAATTCTAATAATCTGAATCGTCATCGGAAGAAGATTCTGAGTCATCAAGAAAACTGAGCTTTACGGACTGAACGCTATGCACTCCGTGTTGACCTAAAATTTTTGGATTCTCTCTCACCGTTTCATAAACCAGTTTTGAATTTACTATCAAACTTGTCTTCTCCTAAAACAATTTAAATAAAGTAAATTAAGTGCAAGGTTAAATCTCGTATGCTCACTAAGGTACTGATTCCATTAATTGATAACCTTTCAATCTCAGTTTCCTCCAGCGTAGGCCTGTTTCCATGGAGCCACTTTACGTGTTGATAGTTGTTAAACGTCTTCTCTTCACCATTTAACCTACCTGATATACTTGTATACGGATCTTGCAATGGCATGTTAAAACTATACTGCAGCTTCCCATCTCTCACCTTGTATCCCCTAGCCTTGGTAACAATAGCGGTGGTCAAATTCTTTAAAAAGCTCTACAAATATCCATCAAATAATTGAAACGGATTTACATTTCTTTATGTACGGTAAGCCAGCACCTGGCAAGCAAACACCATCAGCTGTGTAATTCTGCTATCTGCACCAGTTAAACCACATCGCCAGGCTGCTATGTTAATTCGACAGGACATGAAAGGGCTGTTTGGTGCAAACAACTCTGAAGCTCCTCTTTTACTTGGCGAAACATAATCTATAACTCATTCGCTGTTCAAGTGGCAAATTTATTTATTTAGTGGCATCACCTGCATAATCCGCCAGCTCGAATTGACCTTTATTATTAACTTGCCTGGGAGGCTTCGCTCGGTAGCTTGAGTAAGCTTTGTTCAAAAGGGCTAACAGGAAATTGTTGTGGTGAATCAGCTGTTCTTTATTGCGAAACAGGTTTCTTATTTTTTCGTCAAATACATCCTTGGTCATTCCGGGGTGAAACCTGAACCATTGTGTCAAATAAGTAAAGTAGGCATCTCTAACAGTCGAGTCTAAAACATCTTCCAATTGCTTAAGAGCCTCGCTAACATCTAAAACAGCAATTCTTAAGCAACGGAGTAAATATTATTAAAAAATATAGACAATAATGATGTTCAACAGTCATAAGTTTAACAACAGATTAAGATAATATTTACTCTCACCCATTGTCAATAATAAAAGTTATTAAAACAGGGCCAAGTATACCAATCATAGATCACAGAACAAGATTTAGATAGTTATAGATAAAGACGAGTACTAATGTTCATAGCTAATGTTGGCTATAGGCTATAGCCGCTATAGCAGAACTTAACTCTCGCTATAGAAAATATTTACACCAATTGACACATACACTGACAACCATTAATATTTATGGGATTTGAGGCAGAGATTTGAGGGTCTCTTTCTCTTGCACAGGCGCACCAAAGAGGTTATGTTCACCACAGATCACAGAGGTTATAGAGATTACTTCAGCAGTATCATTAGATAAGCCTTATTCTATGGATTAGTTACAGAGATATTCTACGATCTGTGGTGTAAACTAATTGTTTATAAGCTTGTTAAGAAAACTCTCCAGAATTCAATTTTTTAACTATAGAATATAAATTAGATCCGGGACACTATGTGAAATCTCCTGCAGGCCAACAAATTGAATATGTTTACAAATTGTATTCTTTATTAAATAATCAACACAACTACAGGTACATACATGAATGTAAGCAAATGTTACAAAAACTACATTTTATAGCACCGCAAGCCTCTTCATTTACACCTTTCTACACGGTAACCAGAACCATTGCTTTTCTTATCCCCCGCAATACACAATATATAGGCCTAAACCGTCACGAATTGCATGAAAAGAGGCAACTAACGCAGCTCTATATCTTGAACTAATTGCATCACTAGTGCAATTGTGCTTTTTCTAAACTTTATTACCCTTTCTACTGTTTTATCCTTTGTGCGAATGAGCAATTGATAAATATTTGTATCTAATATTTTAACCATAATTTTCTCATAGGTATACATAAAAGTATTTTAATATTCCAGGAAATCTTTCAAGAGCCCTGTTGGTATTTATTCCGCATCCTTTCCTGAATCAATCGGCCGAACATTGAAAATTTCCAGCATAGTTTTGGGAAAAGTAAGATGATACAAAAGCCTTATTAACTAGTGATTTTACAAATTAAAAAATGGTGTGCGTCATGGGACGCTTGACAGAAGTGATTATGGTTTTCCAAGGAGACAATTGCTCCGGACAAATTATTTGGATGCCTTTGACGAAATGTTTTTATAGACACGTCCGTTGAACAAAACCAGTCGTTTTTAGATTGCAATACGAAATTGGACACCTTCTAGAATATCCCAGTATCTACTTTAATTGCAATTTAATAACACTGCTTTAATTGCAAGATTCTGGACATCGCTTTTATATAGTAAAATCGCCAGTAATTTTGTGATACCCTATTGGTCGATTTTCTCAACAGTTAATAACAGTTTTCACCGTTAAAATGTCTTTACTGGAAAGAAAAGAAGAAAATCGTTATCTCATATCAATTTTGGCAACTAGCCGCAATGGATGGCGGTTATATTTTTTTCCTTTAACAGCGATATTTAACACGAATTGAGGCACATTCATTGGAACACCGCGCAAAAGTTGATAACGCGAGAACTCGGTTGCTATATCCTTACAAGGTTTAACTAATCCGCCGCTGAATTTCAACGGTGCATACCAGCTGGATTCTTAAACCGGATTAACTTTTAAACGCGTTTAGTTGATCGCGTTGATTTAGTAGCTTGGCGGTGCATACGGCGGTTAAGGTTCTACATGGTTCTGGACCCGTTGAGCCGAGATCCGGATCACAGAACATACCCCTAGCCCAGGGGGGATATTTTGTGATCCGGATCCGAGATGACAGATGCAGATCCGAAACCCGACAGAACCCAGAACCATAGATAAAGACGAGTCATAGAACAAGGCTTATAGAGACGAGTCCAGAGACAGACAGAGACACAGAACAATAGTTCGGGTTTCGGGTCCGAATCTCGGCTCGGATCAACTCGGATCCACTCGGCCTCGACTGATTCGACAACCGGGGTTGCCAATATTAATTTACTTAAGTTTTGAAATAATATGTTAACTAAGTTGTCCTACAGTTCCACGCTGCTTTATTTTTAGACATATAAAAGATCCGTTAAGATCCGAAACCCGTATTTGGAAAATTTCAAGATCCGGATCCGACGGGTCTTTTCAAAGATCCGGATCCGTGAGTCGGGTCAGTTCCGTATAAGCCTTGTTCTATGAGCCCGTCTTTATCTATGGATTGAAGTGCTGACAGAATAATTTTTGTCCTTCGTGCGGGTTATGGGCCGCTAGAAACAAATGCAAAATGATTTCAATTCGTAATATTTTTTTATATTTTTCAGCATGGCAGCATTATCCATGATTGCTTGGTATTCGTGGCCCTTTCGCACAATAAAATTGATTTGGTAAGCAATATATTGTATCATGACTACTTATCGTTTGATTTGGAAACGTGAAAATTCTAAAAATCCTTTTTAGCTTTGCTGTTCAAAGTCTAGTAACCAAATGCCGCTTAACTTATCTTACATTAACATACAACCACTTCCTAGATGCTAGCTATATGGCTGACGTTTGCATGGGTCCAATGTTTTGGTTGGTTGATAATTTTACAAACACTATAGGTGTTGTAAGTATAACGGTCGCTGTGTGTCATTATTACCTTTAATTACTATACTATATAATCTATAGATTGTTTAGTGCATATACATTTCAGGCAATACTCAATCCTGCCAATCCGGAGTTCTACATTTAACGAGTAATTTAATAGCTACTTCTTTTTAGTTACTTGTAGCAGGTGTTATTGGTCTTACCGCTTCTACAGTCTTAATAGCTTATTGGATTGGTATTCCACACTGGTGGAATAAGAGTCCGTATATTTGTGTATGTTTAGTAATTGTTGGACATTGGATTCTCTTAAATATTATTTTCAACTATTACATGGCTTGTACAGTATTACCCGGATATCCACCTGAGGTGAACCACTATAGAAGATTTATAGTTATAATTGAAATAATAGAATACACTTTGTAGGGTGAACTGATTGCAGAAGCAGTCAGTATTTGTAAAAAATGTATAGCGCCTAAACCGCCTCGAACACATCATTGTTCAGTATGCAATAGATGCATTTTAAAAATGGACCATCATTGCCGTATCCTTCGTTCAGTTAGATAATATTTCTAATCAGCATTATACAGGGTGATTCAAAATTGGTGTCATTTCTCTGGAGGTGTTGTCTGGCTGTGTTTTAGGAGTACAGAAAAAACAGTGAAAAAAATTAATTGTTATTAAAACTGAGAAATTTGCAAAAAACTATATTAGAAAAACGGCAACAATGTTTTTCAAGGTAATCTGCCTAATTAACATTACGTAAATACCTGTTGCTTCGTAATTATTTAAAACTCCGGTAACCATGGATAAATAGAGAAAGTGACAGTAAGATAGTCGAGGATAAACGTTAAATTCAACAGGAATAGTTAAATGGCGGAACCTACTTCGAAACTCATAACCTCGAATTATTAATATATATATATATAAATAATCTTTATTTCCTACAGATTATTAATTTGTTTACAAATTACAAAACATACATTTGAGTCTGTAACTCCAAGCAAGTGCCGGTGTAATCACCTTATTATGCATTCTTCTCGAGTAGCTTCTTGTAATCGGTTAATTAACTCTTGCTCAATTTATACCGGTGGTCAGTAATTCTTTGGTATAATGTATCTTACATTCGCGGTAGGAATGTAGCCGGTATTTATATGGTCCCTGGGAAAGTGTCAGTTGTGCAACTGGTCGTAATTTATCTTTTTGAATGCTTAAGTATTTCCATATGCTTCCAATTAAACATGGAACACTTTCAAAATAATGGTTAATAACAACGTTAAAATTCGAATTTCAACTGTTAATATCTTCTAAAAATTATCGAAAAAAAAATCACTATTTGTCTCGTACCTTCCAAGTGAACCCCTATTACCCCTTAATAACGCCAATTTTGAATCACCTTGTATAGGAATTATTAAATCTTATAATTTGTTATGTAGACTTATATCTACTATTTTTCTTAACTCGTTATATTAGCCTGGCTCAACAATTGTGTGGGTCATAAAAACCATCGATATTTCTATCTATATATGGTGTTCATGGTACTCGGAGTATTTTTTCTAATATTATGTGGTTGGGAAATAGCTTATCCTATAATATTTCTGGGTATTAATGCGAATAACGATGAACCAGAACTAGAGGGACACTCAGTACAAATTAATAAAAGCGGAGCTTTTATTCCTGTTGTAAGTATGTTCTTAATTGGAAATAAAATTATGTGAAATTATTATCGTTTTTAGACCGATACGATAATGTTGAATGCCTCATTCTTAACTGAAGCTGCAGTAGAATCTACGACTCAATTCAGAAGAAAGTGTATAATGTATATGACTTTTTTAAACGTTGGTATGTAGAAAGCAACTAGCGGAAACTAATGAATTTAGGTCATATCCAATTTCGTTCAAGTAAACCTATTACTGTAGCGCCTTCCTCACACTGTATAGATACATTGAAATTTTAGGGGTGTGTGTTGCTTTGGGTTATTTGTCAGCAATGCATGGACAAATGATAACACACAATGAAACCAGTATTGAAACGCATATAAACAAAACTGAAAGTTTGAGACTGAAATGTTTAGGAACGCAATACGTTAACCCGTATGATTTGGGACCAAGAAATAACTGGAAACAATTTTTTAATTTCAATCGTAACAGGTACATGTATAACAAAAAACTCCAAACGTATATTTCGAGAATTGCTATAGTTACTTTTACTTCAGAAAACCATTATTAATTTTCATTAATAAATATAATATATATATAATAAAAATTTGAATTATAAGCTTTCGATATTTTAAATACAAATAGGTATAATGTTTCAGCAAACATTGGACTCAACTTTTACTTCCGTCAATATATCATCCTTTCGGGGATGGCCTTTCATGGCCAACAATCGATACCGAAGAAATCTATGACAAAGAATTTGATTGCCAGCAGGAAGAGCAATCAAAATTCTATACTTTCGAAAAATGTACACCGCTATATGCGTTGCAAATGGGTGACTACAGTCAGTTAGTTTGAAAATCAAGGAATGTATGGAATTATTTGAATATAATATACTGTCATTATTAGGAGATCACATTAGTTTTTATGGCGGTGCATTCATTTCCAAACATGTACTATTTTGATTTGATATATCGAATCGTTTTGAAATGCAAATACCCTACAAATAGGGGTTAACCCTTAGTAATATGAGAATAAAGACAGTTTTAATCAATCTATATATTAATATAACTTTTTTTCATTATAGTAAATTTACGTTACGAACAGTTTTCGAAACGAAGTTCTACTTGATATTATCATTATGCCAAATTGAACGACAAAGTTTTGAAAGATATTAGTAGTTACCTATCTTAAGTTAGTATAAATTCTCTCGCAAATCTAATTTATATGATAATGAAAATTAATTCAAATATGGCCATCATAACTAAATTGTGCCATCACAAATACAAACCACCATTGTGTAAGTATATTTATTATGTATATATATTGGTCAATTTTATTTATATTTTTTGGTCAATTGGACTGAATTGATCGTAGGGCATGGTTCGGTGGGCTAGATGCCATCTCGCCAGCGGTGAGAAGGTACATTTCTCGTGCTAAATCAGAAAACAGAGATGAAGGTTGTTGTTAGGAAAGATAGCTAGTTTTCTAGATTTCATTCATATCGTTTTTCAAATGTGTAATTAGGTGACACATTACATTATTATTGCGGCAGCGTAACTGTATTTAAATTGGTTTTAGAAGTAAGTTGACAAAATATCATACGTACATTTATTAACGCCTACAATTACATACCTATCTAATTAAGTACTTACTTCCTAGAGAACAATTTGTTTACATGCAGGGTATAAGTTCATTAAAAACCATCAGCGTGCTTTCATAACTAACAGAAACGTTATAATACATGTAATTATAACATAATTTATGTAGTTTAAGTATTATCTATCAACAAAACCAGGGAACGACAGAATTTTTTTTGTAAATAAACAATGGAGTAATGTTCAGGCACATTCCATCAGACACTAAAAGGGCGAAGATAACATTTACACCTTATTAATATTAAAAATAAATATTTAATTTTTGCTCAAATATAATGTATTGATAATTGATACACAGAAACAATGATCGAGTAAAATTAGCACAATAAATTTGGTCGAATACCTCGTAAACATAGTTGTTGATTGTCATTCGGTTGCTGTAAGAGTACAACTTTAATTTCATCCATAGCATCAATTTTGTTCCTCAAATTTTTTATAGTGTCATCATTCAACACCAACTCCGTAATATGACCATCAACTTTGGTCAATGTATTAGGAAATGCCTTGAAGCTATAATTTCCCAGCGACATGTCAAAAAACTCATGAGTGCTCACACACTTTGCAAAAAATGGATCAGACTGTCGAATAGCGTTCAATGTAAGACCAAAATTATCTATTACATAAATTTTCGTTAAATCAAAGAAAATTAATGGCATCTTTTTGACTAAATCATTTGCATTGCAAAAAAAATGTAGAGATTTGTAATGCCTTACGGAGTTCTGTATACCTTGAACCGGCGTCATCAGTAAATATTTTCTGCTGAGTCCCTGCGATTTTAGTACGCTAATTGTAGTTAGAACAAATTCTTGCTCTTGCAAGTCTTTTACCTCCAGTAAAAATGGCACTAATCCAGATTTCCAGAAAAGGTCATACGCTACATTTAATGGTATATGATCCAATGATTCCTGTAGAGTCTCTTCAAATAAATACATCTTTAGTACTGGATTTTTTATATTTTCAATTGTGATTTGATCTACTGCAATAGTCCTTGTACTGGTGTCTATTTTCAAATTGAATTGAGACTCAATCTTTCCATTTATTGGCTCGCAAACTTTGGAGACTATTACCGGATGCTTTTTTAAAACCGTCACATCTACACTATTAGTGGCTTGCTGCCATATCGCATAGTTGTGTGCTTCCAGAGGTGCTTCTCCTTTTCTGACAACTGGGGCAATTTTAAACTTATAAAGCAACAAATGGCCAAGTTTAATTAACACGTCTTCTTTATTGAGTTTGTAATTACCACCTAGGCGACCATCACTCCAGTTTTCAATAAATTTGATAAATTGTCTAGATATGTTGAACTTTTGATTGATTGATAGAGATTCGACTATGAGGTCATCTATCTTACTACCAAATAAAGGCTGTCTATTTTGATGGCTGTAGATGTAAATCTTAGGTAGTTGATGAATTTTATCATTGAGAAAAAAAAATAAAACGTCGTCGTTGTCTTCTGTCGTATTTATAAATAATTTCTTCCGATTGCTCAGACTTTTTGCAAATATATACATGTCTGTTGATTCCGCTCCAGCTAAAACCAGACTATTAATTGTTCACCTTTCATTGTTATCGTAATAAATCAAAACTGATTGATAATACATTTATAACATAGTAAGTAAAATTAAATATATATTAAATAAAAGTGGGTATGTAAATATTCGTACCTTTACAATAATTACAACCATACTTTGAAGTGTGAAAAATACAAGAGTTTAACTTTATCTGTCTGTTCAAATTGGGAGACATATCGGCTGTGGTAAAAACAATGAATTTATGTGTGAAATCTCTAGGTGACTTCACTGTGTTTACTTGGGTTAGAAATGTGGCTAAAGAAAATCTGCCTACAAAGAGAATCTCACATATTTACCTAATTATGTATCTGCAAACGACGGTAGACATGTTCTCAGAAATTAAACTTACCTTCACCTAAAGTCTCAATACTTTTGATATTACTGTTTAAATCTTTGAACTGAATGCCAAATGTGGTTATGAAACCCGGATGTTCGCCGGATTCTTTAAGCTCAACTTGCACTACAGCATCTCCAAAATCTCCCCATTCTTTATCGTTAATGCATATCTTAAAAGTTTTTACAGTATGATCTAAAGCCAAATTGATTGCCCAATAAGCAGCCACTGTAGAAATATAAGCTTTATTATAACCTTCGGGATTCTTTGTATTTCTAGTGCGATATTTCTGAAAATTTATATATGTATCATTTGTGCATTTTAAAATTCCAAACGTCCCAAATGTTAATAAAAATTTGTTACCTCTCGCACGCTCTTATAATCACATACTTCACAATTTCCTTGCAGCTGTCTAGTAATCTCTAAAATAACAGAATTATTACCATAGATATTATTAGGAATTATTTAATACAATGAACAATATTTTTGAAATAAAGCTAAGAAATCAAAAAGATATTTTCTAAATGATATGGGTACTGGCTGCAAGTGTTCACATAGGTACTTAGCATTCTTAGCAGCGGATATTGGTAAACGACAAAAACACTGAGACCTTGCTATAAGCATTTATAATGAAGGGGCTTTTTAAAATCTGATTATTTATATCTCTTGATTCAATAGCATACCCGGAACTGGTGCTTTTCTCGGCATTGGACGAATTGGTTTCAGCTAAAAATACTGTAATTTAGCTTTCCTTCCTTGTAAGTTATTGCTTACAATATGGAACATAATAGTCTTTAGGGTAGTTTTTAATATAGATACTTACTGCAGTATTGGCACAGTCGGGTACCAGTGTCTCTGCAAACACGCAAGTATAATCAGTGTTTCAACATTATCAGTTGATTTTATTATATGGGAATTTTGCAATTAAATTCTTACCATTTTGGGAGAAACATTTTTGCTGCTTTTCCCGCTTCTTTGAATTTCTCTTGTGCGTTTTGCTGCCCAGATGAATAGTATAAAAATGCAAATTGGATAACTCGGTATTACAAGTGATGCACTTAAGCTTATTAATGGACTTAATTTCTGAAAGTATAAAACATATCATAGATATTAATTAATAATAACATTAATTGACTGCAGAAAGTATTTTTATGAACTCTGAATAAATATATGGAGATTACCTTCATAGTTTCTCCTACGAACCATGTATTTGTGTCTGCTTCCATTCAGATGATTCTTACGGTCATTTCTATGCATTATTAGGTCACAATCTGAACAGTGGTAGTAATTGGATTGATCTATAGCTATAATTTTGCGGATGGAGTAAAGTTGACGGTAAATACCCAGGACAATACAAATATTTATGTAGACATCTTCACTAACCTGGGTTATCAAGTTCCATTTCCAACATAGCAAGCTTTTGGTTTGGTATACGAGTATCATAGAACAATACAAGACTAATATTAACTCATTATGATCAGTTGATTCATCCACTACAGTGATAAGATGATAAAGATTAGATTAGGCTATTAATATGCTTATCGATTTTAGTCCCGTTTCTAAAAAAAATGGTCGGATATCACCATCTTGTCGCGACATTTTCCAAAACGGCAATCCCTTTGGCGGGGTTCCGGGGCTACGATCCTTGCAGAGGGCCTTTAAAAAAAAGAGCCGCAATATGGATCTTACCGAGGTCCCCGACATCGTGAGGCCCGGGGCTACAGTCCCCGTAGCCCCGGACGAGACTTCCTGAGGCACCTCAACTCAATAAACCCTAAAATTCAATTCACTATGGAAGTGGAAAAGGATGGGCGATTGCCTTTTTTGGATGTCTTGGTGACCAGAAAAACCAACGGAAAGCTGGCCCACACTGTGTACAGAAAACCGACACATTCCGACAGGTACCTGCACAATGGTTCAAACCATCATCCCAGTCAGAAAAGAGGAGTCATCAAAACTCTCACCGAAAGAGCCAGAAGAATCTGCAAACCAGCCGAGTTAGAGAGAGAATTAAAACACCTGGAAAGGGTCTTTGGTTGGAATTGATACAGTAAGAAAGATTTCAATAGAGCAATTCGACCAAAAAACAGTGAAGATCGCTCGGAGACAAGAGTTGGGCTTGCCTCCCGTACATACATGGAGTCACGGACAGGATCGACAAGATACTGGAGAAACACCAAGTAAAAACCATTTTTGATCCAACTCGAACCATCCAAC